ACAACAAAGAAGAGAGATAAGCCACAAAAAAATATTATTTCCAAGAACCGCATTAATAACCTCACGTTCGTGTTGCCATATGTATCTATTTACTGAAAAACGTTTCCATATGATCACATAAAACTCAATATTATTGCCAACATTTCTGTAGCTGTGCTCAACTTTATATATCACACATATATTTCAATCAAATGTAAGTAGAAAATAATTAACATATATGCAAACATTGGGCAAAGATTTGAATTCAAATCCCATTATCCCTCTTAAGTTATTTTTTAACTCCGATTTTTAGCTGCTTGAAATTCTTTATTAATAATTGATTACCTATCTTCACCATTGGCACAAGTTCGATAGGTAACATTTCAATCACAATCAATAATATTCAGCAATATCGCGTATAAAACACCCAGGCATGCCGTGCCCGAAGGCCGATCCAAAAGTGAAGTAGCCAACAACATAAGACATGGATTAAATCTGTCTGTGCTTAAATTTAATAATTAGGTCCCACACTGAGTCACCACTGTGCAGTAATGAAAAGTCGAATAAATATTGCAATATTCAAAATAAAAGTAATAATAATCTTGTAATACCACCTGACATGTGTCACGCTAATTTCCTCAATGAATGCTTCGCGCCATAGTTGCGTCGAAATATAATGCCATTCACTCAGCACACCGCTTACTGGCTCATAGTGTAATTGGACACCCGCTGTTCTCAATTGTTGATAAATTTAGTTTTCAATCAAATAAGGGGAGATACGCCAGCTGCTTACGGTTAATATAAAAGGGTGGAAGGGGTAACACTAAGAGAAATTTTAATACCTCACCAAATTTGAGTGTGTCCTGCGTAAAGCCCATGGCTGTACCATTATGTGCGGAGCCCGGATCACCCCAAAGAGACAATTGCCAGGCTCATCAGAAACGGTTTCCATCTTTGGTCATAAAACAATATTAAATATTGGTATCTATCAATTTATTACGTTTTTAATAAAAGCATCCTCTCCTTAAAAGTGTCTCGGCGTATAATTGCAATGCCATTGTATACATTTGGATAATCATAATTGGGATGCTCTATAACTTCTTCGATTTCCAAGTCCCAAGCCTCAGTATCATTCAAAGCGAAGCCACCGGGACGTACTACCACAGGTAGATCACTAATATTTAATTTAATAGTACATAAAAAGCTCGTTTTTCTTTCATAATTTTCGTACCTCGAATGATAGAGACAATGCGCAGCAGTGATTACATAACCGCGATCGTATATAGTGCCCCCACATTTGTAAACTATAGTCGTGTTTCCAGTAGTTTC